TATGGTCTTTGTGTCAGCAACACATTCTTTAATACGAAGCTTCAATACAGAGTTTCCTGGAGACATCCAAGATCCAAGCATTGGCATCAGCTCGATTTGATCCTCACCAGACATTCTAGCCTTCCTAGTATTACAATCACATGCAGTTACCAGAGTGCTGAATGCAATACTGATCACTCCCTGGTGTGTAGTAGAGTAAAACTGCGAACAAAGAGACTGCATCACACAAAAAAGGAAGGAAAACCACATATTGACATCGGCAAGACTCACAATCAAAGAAAAGTGGAGGAATTTGCCAAAGCGCTTGAGGAAGCCCTTCCAGGCCCGGCTGATGCAAATGCACCTGAACGATGGGAAAATTTCAAGAACGCTGTGTATAACGCCTTGTCCACCTTTGGCAAGAAGACCAAAAAGACGGCTGACTGGTTCAAAGCTCATTCGGAGGAGTTGATGCCAGCCATCGAGGATAAGAGGAGAGCTCTAGCAGTATACAAAGCCTGTCCTAGTGTGTACAACTTGCAAGCTCTTCGAGCTGCACGTAGCTAAGTCCAACAGGCTGCCAGGAGATGTTCCAACGATTATTAGCTTCAACTCTGCTCTCAGATACAGATAGCAGCGGACACAGATAACATCAAGGGAATGTATGACGGTATCAAGCAGGCTTTAAGTCCAATACAGAAGAAATCTGCTCCCTTGAAGTCTGCTACAAGCGTGATCATCCAGGACCGAGCGCAGCAGATGGACCACTGGGTGCAACACAACTCTGAGCTATATTCCAGAGAGAATGCATTAAATAACATTGAGTGCCTGCCTGTCTTGGAAGAGTTAGACAGCCAGCCAACCACAGCAGAAATAAATGCGGCCATGGATCCCCTCGCCTCCAGTAAGGCACCTGGAAAGATAACATCCCTGCTGCAAAGAGATCATCACCACCAAACTGTATGAAGTCTTTCATCTTTGCTGGAGGGAAGGCGGAGTACCACAGGACATGAAGGATGCAAACATCAAAGGAGACAGGGGTGACTTTAACAAAGGAGGGCAACAAAGGAGATAGTGGCGACTGTAATAACTACCGTGGCATCTCTCTTCTCAGCGTTGTAGGGAAGCTCCTTGCCCATGTTGTGCTGAAGAGACTACAGGTGCTTGCAGACAGTCTATCCAGAATCACAGTGTGGATTTCGAGCTAACAGATCCACTACTGACATGGTATTCTCCCTCAGACAGTCGCAGGAGAAATGCAGGGAACAACAACAGCCACTCTTTGTGGCCTTCATAGATCTCACAAAGGCCTTTGATTTGGTTAGCAGGGATGGCCTTTTTAAAATACTTCCCTAGATTACATGTCCACCATGGCTCCTTAACATCATCAGGTCCTTTCATGAGGGAATGAAGGGCACTGTAATTTTTCATGGTTCAACATCAGATCCTTTTGATATCCAAAGCGGAGTGAAACAAGGCTATGTCCTCGCACCAACCCTTTTTGGGATATTTTTTCTGTCATGGTGAAGCACGCCTTTGGAACTGCAACAGAAGGTGTCTATCTGCGGACCAGATCAGATGGAAAGCTCTTTAATCTCTCTAGTTTGAAAGCGAGGACCGAAGTCCAACTGAAATGTATGTGGGACTTCCTTTTGACTGACGATGCAGCCACTGTTGCCCACTCTGCTGAAGACCTCTGACAACTCATGAATCATTTTACCAAGGCCTGCCAAGACTTTGGATCAACAGTCAGCCTGAAAAAAATACAAGTCAAGGGCCAGGGTGTGGACTCACCTCCCTCTAATACCATCTCCACGCAAGAACTGGAGGTTGCTCATGACTTTGGCTCAACGATCTCCGACACTCTCTCCCTAGATGCCAAGCTGGATAAACGCATTGGCAAAACAGCTACCATATTCTCTAGAGACTTACAAAGAGAATATGGCTCAATAAGAAACTGATGGCATATACCAAAATCCAGGTCTATAGAGCTTGTGTCCTGAGTACACTCCTGTACTGCAGTGAGTCCTGGGCCCTTTGTGCATGACAGGAGAGGAAGCGGAACACCTTCCATATGTGTTGTCTCCAACACATTTTTGATATCACCTGGCAGGACAAAGTTCCAAATAGAGTAGTCCTAGAACAAGCTGGAATTTTTTAGCATGTATAATTACTGAAACAGCGACATCTACGTTGGCTTGGGCATGTTGTGAGAATGGCTGATGGTCAGATTCCAAAAGATCTCCAGTATGGAGAATTAGTGCAGGGAAAGCGCCCCAGAGGGAGACCACAGCTGCGATACAAGAGCATCTGCAAGTGGGATCTGAAGAGCTTAGGAATGCACCTCAACAGATGGGAAACCCCGACATCTGAGCGTCCAGCCTGGAGGCAGGCGCTGCATCACAGCCTCTCCCAATTTGAAGAGACCCTTGTCCAGCAGGCTGAGGGAAAGAGGCAGTCCCAAAAGCAACAAAATCAGGGAGCTGGACAGGGGTCAGATTGTGTTTGTCTTCAGTGTGGAAGGGATTGTTACTCTTGAATTAGCCTTCTCAGCCACACTAGATGCTGTTCAAAGTCCTCCATACAGAGCACGTTACCATAATCTTTCAATACTGAAGGATTCCTAACCTAACTGTCAGACAGTTATACATCCTAATATGAGTAAAAACACTTGATATAATTTATTATTTAACAGTTGTAATTGATAAAGATTTGGACTAGTGAAGAACATAAAACATTAACAATTTTCACTAAAAATACTATTGGAAAAAAAGCAAGTAAAGCACTCAGTATTTGCAATAAACTCTAAGTAAAACTTCTGTGGCATTCAAACTAAACAAAATGCAGGGAAAAGACATATGTTTTCTAAAAATTGAATTTACAACTTACCAGTATTAGAAGGTAAAATTAACCATTGGAAGCATTAACATATATACAGCCTCCTGGCTGAACCTAAGTCAGCACTATATATATACATTTTCAAGTCTACATATAAACTTTAAAGAATTATTAATTTTTTTAAAATTTAGCACACAATATTTTGCTTTACTTCTAAGGCAGTAGCTATCAGTTGTAAAACTTTTGATTAATTGCTCTTGATTTGATATAGAAATACAACATATGCTTTCATTTGGAAACAACCTAATTATCTTGGAGACTACCAGTATGAAAACTAATTCAAAATTTCTACCATATGTAGATCAAACACTAAAAGATTTGGGAAAGTGGTTTCACGACAGAAATGAACTCACCTTTAGTACCAGTGCATTATACACTGTTGCTGAGCAATTTAAAATGGGCTATAAATATTACAGATGTACTGTGGGAAACACGTAAATTGAGTAATAAAATATTGGTGCTGATTTCAAGCAAAACAAATATACCAAATTATTTACAAAATGGTTTCAATATGAGATCTTTATTCTATTTGCTATGTCACCAGCAACTAATTGGTCAAATGTGCTGCGAATTTGCCTTCACTGTCTCATTATGGTGTGCTTTTTCAAATAGGAAAGGAGCAATGGCTGATCGCCCCCTGCTGTCTCAAGGCCAAATGTGGCAGCCACAGAAAAGTTTTTGCTGTTTTCCCCAGTTACCGTACTTTTCGCTCCATAAGACGCACCTCTCCATAAGACGCACCAAATTTTTAGGAGAAGAAAACAGGAAAAAATAATCTATTTTCATCTCCTAAAAATTGGTGAGCCTTATGGAGAGGTCCGTCTTATGGAACACACCCTAGGGCCCTTTGGAGGCTCACCCAGCCCCCCCGGAGGCCAGAGGGGGCAAAATCGCCACCTTCTGGGACTCTTCTGAAGCTTCCCAAGCCTCAAATGAGTCCCAGAGGTGGTGATTTCGCCCCCTCTGACCCCCGGGGGGCAGGGTGAGTCTCTAATGGGTCCTAGGGTGTGGGGGGGGCAGCGTGAGTCTCTAAAGGGTCCTAGGGTGTGTTCCAGGACCCTTTAGAGACTCACCCTGCCCCCCCGGGGGTCAGAGGGCGCAAAATCGCCACCTTCTGGGACCCTTCTGACGCTTCCCAAGCCTCAAAAGAGTCCCATAAGCTGGCAATTTCGCCCACACTGGACCCATGGGGGGGTGGGGGGAGCGTCACAAGGGTCCTGGAAGGCTCACTCGTACCCTTGCAACTCTCCCCCCCCCA